GAGAGAGAGAGAGAGAGAGAGAGAGAGGATCTTGAGTTCTCTCATCATAACATTTGATGTGAAGAAACGATAACTATAATGAGGGTTGGTCAGCTTACAGTGAATTTGGGAAGGCGAAATTTGTAAGTATCAACAAGTTCCATCATCAAATCAACCAAATCCGAAAAGGGGCTGTCCAACACCATTCCAGCTATTGAAGGATCTTCAGCTCCATACATCAAACTGAATGATGCACAAATGTCAAAGCCGAAAATTCGACAGAATATCTATTATTGCAGTACACTTGAAAGCTCCCATGCATGTGTTCACATTATACTTTCACTCTGTGTGTGTGTGTACTGTGTACATGTGTATCAAGAAATCAAATGGGCAAGAAGAGAACATTCTCATTTCTGAGGCAGCACATGAAAGCAAATCATTAATAACTATTGCACATATATGAAGCAAAAATGCAAGATCATAAAGTGTCTAAACCCGTGTATGACAGTTTGAGACATCGTCTTGTCATTTGCAAGAGCTTAGTCTCCAAAACATAATAGATATTGGTAGCTCAAACTAATATAAAAGCAGAGCTTATCAAAGGCAATAACAAATTCACCCCTCCGCTCACTTCCCCTCTCCTCATCAATAGGGAAAAAAAGGAGAAATGGAAAGTGAACAAACCAAAAAGGAACAAAAAGAAAGAAAACTAAGAAAGTGAGAAAAAAATGGAAATGTGCAATAAAATGTAGTGAAAAATGTCACAAACAAATGAAATGGACTTGAGTAACTTGTCTGCTGTATCAATGCACCTGAATGGATTAAATCATTCTAGTTCACACATATTGGGGCAGCATAATTAGACAACAAGCGAAGAAATAAACTACTAACCTGGTAACAGCACCCATAGAGCGGCCCCACAAGCCGATCAATGAAATGTTCCCATCTGCACGAAGGTAATTAACAACAGCTTTCAAATCATCTTTCTGCAAAACCAACACCACATCTCAAAAGTAAATGACAGTTTTGTATACAAGTCCATTTAGACGAAGCCCATAAACCATTTGAGATACATTGCATAAAATATCTGGCAAACAAAACCACAAGCAAAGATACTATAATAAATAACAATAAAAATAAAAAAGACCTTTTCTATTAAATCTCAAACAAGTTTCAGCTAAGATAACTTTCACATGTCCTTTATAAACTCTCCTTGTGGTAAAAAAAAAAAAAAAAAGTTATTTCCATTGTAAAAGATTTTCTGAGAACCAATCAATTGGAAATCTAATTAGTTCAATGTGAAACATGGTATAAGTTAGCACGCAACTTACTTCATTCCAGCCCAGAGTGACATGCTCTCCTCCAGATATCCCAGAGCCCGAGAAATCAAGTGTAAAAACAGTTATATTTGATGGCAACAATATAATAGCAGCTTCACTAGCCTCTGTTCTGCAACCACTGAAAGGGATCAGAGATAAAAGGAGCTAATAAGCAATATTGGTGAATAGCACATGACAATATCATTTCATTTCTTTATACAACTAAACTTTCTGCATGTTCAAAGAAAATTGTTCCCCTGCGAAATAAGTTCTCAATTTTCTCCACAAAACTAGGATTTGGCATAACTATATTAATTGCATCAAGTTTGGCAAACCAATATAGAATAAAATAATATATCAAAAGACTAGTAATTAGGAAAAAAAACTTCAAGAATCCCAATAATTTCCACTCTCAGAACTACAAACCTATTCCCATGGCAGTAAACCACGCAGGGCAGTGGATTTCCATTTGGACGAACAATAGGCATGTAATGGCTACATTGTAGTTTATCCCCTCGACTATTTACGACCTGCAGGATTAAAAAAGCACTCCTTTAATAACAACCAGATGTCAACCGCAAGTCTTGCGACCATCATATCTCAACTCGTAAGTTCAAATTGAAGGTGTTTGAAAAAGCATGATTTCAACTATAAAGGGGTGGTGGATATGTACTTCAGTTCAGTAGTTCTGCCAAATAATTTGTACACACACGTTATCAGCTTTCAACGATCTTTTGCACATTAGGAAAAGCATGACTCAATTATAGATCCAAGCATCGTCGTAAATACCCTCTTACCTCCAAATCTTTCCTCTGGTACCACTTGCCTTTTAGCATAAATTCTTCATCTAACAAATCATTTTTTGGATTGTATTCAGCTCTGCACGTCCAAGAATTTAAAAGGGTTGAATATGTTCCACCAGTATCAAGTATCAACCACATGCATTCACTTTTCCAGAATTCAAGCAAATCATGGCAGTAGATTGACAAGTGCAGGTAGTCGGTACAAATTATAAATGAAAGTAATGACCATTTATAGCACTGATACCTCTTTGCACTATCTAGTTCAGTATGTATTTCGAATTTATGAATCGCGTGCCAAACGTGTAAAATGCTTAACGATTTTCAACCTGTTAATCCTAAATGGGATTATGCATCACTTCTCATATATTTGAACGTGTGGCATCTAACTCCAAATTGTTATGCCGGCACAACCTGGATTGCTATCACCAGCTTTCGACAATTCTGTTGACCCAACCCCCTTCTTATAAAAAGATTTTGATGTTACAAAAGAAGCAAGAATTTTCTTTCAAAAAAATTCTGTATCATCAGGAGTCTCTGAACTCAAATGACAGCAACATTAAATACCGTATCCCATATAAAAAAAACACAAATTCATTCAAATAACTCAATAGAGATTCACATAGAACAAAACTCAAATGAAATCATAGAAGACTAGAACAGACAAAAACCCACATGAATTTTCATAAAACCCATTAATTAAGACAAAAAAAACCCAACCTACAAGAATAATAACCAAAACCCATCTCAGAACCATAAACAAGATTCTCTTTTTTTAGCAACGGTAACACCCAAACAACTAACATGGAACGAATGAAAAAGGGGAAAAGAACAAGAACAAGAACCCTATGTAAACATAAAAAAGAACACTTTTTTCTCACCTGGGTGGCCTTATAATGAAGTTAATAAGCTGCTCCATTAACAGATTCAAGCAATCAAGATCTCCCCTTTCTATTTATCTCACCAAAAAACAGTTTATTTTACTCTAATTTGCAAATCCAAGAAAATATAAACAAAAAATGGGGCACAAATATTAGAAGAGTTCTTCCTTTCAAGCAACAAAAAAAGCCGAATTATCAATGTGGTGAGAAAAATTAAAGTGCAGAGGTTTAACAGAACCGAATTTTTTCACTCTTTCTGTTGTTTTTTTGTCAGCAATTTGTTCTGTCCCTTTGGGTTTTCGTTTTTAATTAAATTAATAAATAAAATAAAAAAAAACTTAAATGAAAGTCAATTGAAGTCCTTGTTGTATGTCACGTGACGAGCCCATGCGACAGTTTCGGTAAATAATACGTTTTGTGGTTGTTATAATATTTTATTTAATTTATTTGGCGGAATTTTTGCTTCTTGTTGTAACTAACTTTTACATATTATATTTAAATATAAATTTTTCCATTCATCTAATTGTTTATTTCATTGCACTTGTTTTATTTTCTTTATTCCCTGCATTTTATTTGGGAAGCGATTAGTTATAGCTCTTTGTTACTTGTTGGCTAACTATTCTAAATTAATTTTTTTTAAAAAAAGGGTCATAGAAAGAAAGCCAATTCGTGTAATCATTTTTTTTACAAATTTATTTAAATATGAGAAAAATATTTCAATGTATGATGGTGATATTAAGGTGTAACTAGGATTGCAAACAAGTCAGAGCGGCTCACGAGCGCTCGAGTCAAAGCTCGACTCGAGCTCGAGTTTGATTGAACTCGAGTCGAGCTCGAGCGGCTAGAGCTCATATTTTGTATTGTCGCGCGACACGATATATATGGTAAATTACTAAAATACTCCTTATATATGTTTAAACAGTATAACATAGGTGTTGGTAATTTTACATTTTCGCTTAAAAATTTTTGAGCCGAGCTCGAGCATTTTGATTTCGAACCGAGCTCGAGCCTCATAAATCGAGCTCCACGAGCTCGAGCAGTTAAAAAAAATCAATCATACTCGATAAAGTCAATGTTCGACTCCGTTCGGCTCGACTCGTTTGCAGCCCTAGGTATGACACTGAATTCACGTACTTACGAGAATGTACCATTTACTAGACATGATTTCGGCCCATGGGACAACACTCGGCCCGAGATTGAATCCACATGCGTCCTTCATATGGGTGATCCGCCTATCCATAGGTTAAGGGAAAGGGGGGAAGGGTGGATACATCATACAATTGTCCTTATTTTTAAAATTCTGCAAAGTTACAAATACTCCCTTAAAACAGTATTTCTTATGACATTCTTACCCTTGTGCCTTGAGGGAGTTACGAGTAGGGTTGTAAACGAATCGAATCAAAGCGAATACTCAGAGATTCGATTCGATTCATTTAAAATATTCGAAGATTCGATTCGTGATTCGATTCGATAACGAATTCATTTTCTGATTCGTATTCGATTCGTTTAGAATATTCGAACATATTCGATTTGATTCGAAATTCGTTTTCAAAAAAATATTATAATTACAAAAATAAATTTTATTTTCATATATTTTTAGAAAATTTTGTTAATTTATGATGTTTTTATTTTTATGTCATAAAAATATTAGGAATATAACAATATATATACATATATTATAAACAAAATATATATTATATATAATTTGTATAAAAATATTATAATTACAAAAATAAATTTTATTTTTCATATATTTTTAAAAAAATTTGTTAATTTATGATGTTTTTAATTTTTATGTCATAAAAATATTAGGAATATAACAATATATATATATATATATATATATATATATATATATATATATATATATATGTACACATATAATATAAACAAAATGTATATTATATATAATTTGTAAAATTTATATAATTATTGTTAATGAATCGAATAATCGAATTTCGAATCGAATATCTACACATTCGGATTCGAATTCGTTATAATTTCGAATCTAAAACATCATTCGAATTCGAATTCGAATATTTCGAATTCGAATCACGAATATCGAATTCGAATCACGAATCGAATAAAAAATGTTTGATTTGTTTACAACCCTAGTTACGAGTGGTACCCAATAAATATAGAAGCAGTGGTAACTGGTAGGGGCACTTGTTATAAAAATCGGCCTAGGCGGCCGCTTAGACGTTAGGTGGTGTTCGGGCGCCTCCGATTTGCACAAATCGTCAGAAAAAATCGGTCAAGCGGCTAGCGGCTCTAGGTTCTCCTAGGCGGATTTGGCGGTTAGGCGGCGCCTAGGCGGGTATAGGCGGACCTAGGCACTCATAGGCGGGCTCGGGGGTAATTTTTCTATTTTTATTTTTTATTTTTTTTAAATACTAATTATATTATTTTATTCGCATGTTTTCTTTAAAATATATTGAGATAGTTTTAATTTGTAGGTATTTAAAATAAATAAAATTAAGGTATTTAATATTTATTTCTAGGCCCCGACTAGGTGCTCTAGGCGCTAGGCACTGGTCGAGCGTCTAGCGACTTTTAGAACACTGGGTAGGGATGAGCATGAGTCGGTACGGTTCAAAGATTGACAATTCTTCGGAACCGTGCTGAAGTTCAGAGATTACTAAAATTCAATCTCCGAAATCGGTTCAGTTCGGTTCAAATATTTTCTTTTTTCAGTTTGGTTCGGTTTGGATATTTGGAGATTTTTAATTATTCTTTTTAAAAAAAAAATGAATGGCCACCTAGTTGATTTTAATTTTTATACTTTTTTTTTTTTAAATCCAACATTCATCAATACTTTATCATACTAAAGATTTTATTTATAAATCAACTAGAGAAATAACTCTAAATTTTAGGTAAGACTAAATTTGTGCAACTTACATTTATAATTCAAACAAAATATGATATAGTTTTTTTGTTGAACTAATATTTCTTTAACCTTCCATACCATGTTAGTTATAAGATAAAATAAGTCTAATATCGACAAATTTAATTAATGTTTAAATATTTTTTTTAAAAAATATTTCATTAACCTTTAATACTATTTTAAATATATTTTTCTTAAGCCAAGAAAATTCAACAGTAGATCTCAAGTATTACTAAGCATGAAATTTAAGTGAAACTTAATTGTTATAACTATATTTTATTTTCATTTTTTTTTCCAAATTATATAGGATCAAAGTTAACATAAAATCTCTCTACAT